TGTAGTTTCTTAGTGTCTTAAGACCAAGCAGGTATGTAGCTAAATCACTAAGGACATGAACTCGAGTGATCATAACTTATAACCTGTGGCTGTCGTTCCTCTATTTCTCAGCCTCTTGTTCCTCCATCTTATTTTCTTTGTGGCCTTGTGGGGCTCCGGGAAAAATTCATACCTTGGGGTGGCTAGAGGATGACCTGCAGCCCGTGTGGTGATTGCATAATTCATTTCCACGACCCCCGTGGTGAGCCATAGACGTGGAAGTTTTGGTTCAGTTCTTTTTCCATCAAGCTCATCAATGTTTAATTGTTCTTGTTCATCTCCTCTCATGGATATTTAAAGCTGAACTAGGATCCATTTTATGGTTCAAAGTGTGAAGATATTTTATGAAGTGAAATGATATGGATATATGAGACATTTTCCCTTCAAGTTTTGACTTTCTCTTGTTTTCTCTAGAAAAAACTTGAGCTTAAGTAAAGTTTCTTGGATCAAGAAGAGAATATGTGATGATTGATAAGAAACTGATTAACCCCTAATTATCAATAACTGTATGTGAGCTCAAAAACATGTGCCCTGTTGTGTGTTGTCACTTGAGTTTTCTTTCTATATGATTAGTTCCATGTTGTTCATGGAATAGTAATAGTGGTTGAATCTTTAATTGCAGCTATACTTTTCAACGCATTGATCTTCTTCGACGTGCAATGACCCATGCTTCATTTTCTGAGGAGAACAACCGGGCATTAAGCATTCTAGGCACAAGCATCATAGAAACATCTGTGTCCTATAGGTATCTTCTAAATGATATGGATATATCTTCAAAAACTCTGAATCGTGTGATAGCAGAGGCATGTAATGTGGAGTCCTCTTGTGCTGTGGATGGGATGCGGTTGGGGTTGCACAAAATAGTCAGAGTCTCTCACAATACCAACTCTACCACTCCTGCCATAGTCTGTGGTGCTTTTCGTGCAATATTTGCTGCTGTTGCTCTCGACTCTGGAAAGTCTGATGATGCTTCAAAAGTGTTCTGGAATGTCCATACTCGTACAGGTGAAATGGCTGCTGCATTTTAGGTAAGCCTCAGAACTAGTGTGACTGCATCCTACTATGAACTCATATTATATGAATTATATGTTATGGTGATGGTGTTTATATATTGTATTAACTTTATGTATGCTCTAGAACTAGAATGGCTCAATAACGCTGCTACATATATGTATTGCTCCTAGGGAGGCTAACAGAGTTTATCAATGGTTGTTAATCTAAGTATGGTTGTTTTATATGTGGATCCAAGTTTGCGTTTTATTATAGTTTGTAGAAAGCTGATCAATGTCAATGTCAGAATCGTTTGTGATCTTTGAGTGAAATTTATTGTGATCATCCTGCATGTCACCTTGAAAACGGCACTTTAGATTCAGAGAACCGCCAAGGCGGCCCTTGTTGTCAGTTGTATGTTGAAATCTGTTGGGTTTATCTCAGTCTGTCTCCAGGTTGCTGGTGAACCAGGAAACAGGCCAATCACTATTAGAAAAGTACAGTACAGCTCAATGTTGCAAGCTTGCCAAACTTAATTCCTTTAAGCTGAACTAGTCTAATAGTGACTAAATCCTGTTTCCGCCTTTTCATGTCTTTGTTCATGCATGATCAGCACTTAATTTATAATGATTTATCTGGTTTCGGTGATTCGCTTGCATCCTGTAAACGATCTTGCTACCTTTAACCAGTATTATAAAATGAAGCAAATTAATCAAACTTACGAGACTTGATTCTCATTTCATGTGACCAAAAGATTCATTATTAATTTATTATTGAGCTAAGCAACTCTAGTTTAGTATTATTATCTGTTCCAAGTGGCCTGAATTTCAGGTTTTTAGTACTTTTTTCTCGTCTTTTTAGTTACAAAAATGAAAGAAAGATTGAGAAAAATGTGGGTGAGAAATTTGTCTTATTGATTAATCCATTTGGTATGAACTGGAAATATCTTTGGCTCTCAAGAAAGACAGACACCCTAAAATCAGCTGTATAATGTACTTGTCCCCCCACCTTTAGTTTAGTTGCCTAACCCTCTTTCATTTCTTTTTTGGAACAAGACCTTCTCGTTGACTTGTAAGTTATGCTATTTTGTTACTTTAAGATATAACTTTGAGTACAATTTACTCTTAAAACTATAATCAACAAGTATAATAGTAGATTCTTATGTAATAGTAATTTCATTATCTTATCTTCTATCAGTATAATTTCGTCATAGATTCTATGAGGAATTTACAGTCAAAGTTCGATCTGAAAATATCAAATATTAAGAAACGGAGGTTGTAATATCTTGTATAAATAAAAAATATAGCTATCCTTGTCTTCCCATGATACTCCAAAATAGTAGCCTTGTTCAATAGTCTTTTGGTTGCTTAATGTTTTGAGATATTTGCTGGCTATTTTGCTGAAGATATTATCATGATGTCAGTCATCAATATGAGATTATTTAGGTGATTAATATCTTATATTGCGTTGAAGTGTTACACTGCCTTTTGGTATTGCTAATATATTGAATTGATTACAAGAAGATATGATATTGAGTGGCCACCTCATTGTCTTATCTAAGGATTAAAATGGTGGGGTTTGAATTTTGGTAGGTAGCCTAGCCGTTAGCCACTACAAATAGAGGGTATGCAAGAGGGCTTATCTAAGTGTTCCTCGAACCATTATTGGAGCATCACTTCATTCTTGTATTTTTGTTGTCATTATTGAAGAAACCGATAGTAATATAAAAAACTCTCAAATAGTAATTTGGTGGTTTGTGAAGAAGTATTGTACTTGTATTTATATAATTATATATGAATAACAATGTACAGTTTTGCCAATTTTTGACTGTTGGAGTGTTTATATGATGATCACTTGCGAGTTACTTGAACAGTTGAACTTGATCAAAACTTGGGTTGAGTGATCTCAACTTGTATTCGAACTCAACTTGGATTTGAACTCAACTCAAGATGTTGACAAGTTGAGTTGAGATACTTGAAATGTGACTCGTATCCACATGAGAAGCTCGAAAAATCTGTTATTATCTACTTTTACTTTGTAATAAGGCAAATGACCAAATTTCTTGTTTATTCTAGTGGTGCTATTGAGATCGATTCATTCAAAGCCTGATCTCTTGACTCAACTCGAACTCATTCCTAAATATTAGCTAGTTGAGTTATGATGTCCCAATCTCAAACTTATCTCGCATCATAAGTACCCTAATTGTGGGTTGTGAAAATAACAGCTTATGAATTTGACTTGAGCTCCAATCAACTCTACATCCTACTTTTATTGTTAGGAAGGTTATTTAGGTAAGAGTCTTGTCATTGAGCTATTCTAATTAATCAAGAAATTAGTTGGTTATAGTTAAAGATTTGGGCATGCATGAATCACGATTGAGGATAAAAGATCAAAAGTAACTTGACTCTTTGACTAATCTTTAGATCTTCACCTCAATTTTATTTTTTAATTAATCTATACCAAATAATAACGGCCATTTGTTCTGTTGCTTTGTATTATTGATTTAGCCAATCATTAGATCTACCTAATGAAGAACAACTTAGGCCACAAAGCTGGCAATTTTTTTTTTTTTTTTTTTTTAATTTTTTTCCCCTTTCGGTGGGTCCTTTTTTAATAACATTATAAATCATGGGAATCATTCGGTAGCCTTTTTCTCATTTTTTTTTACAGTAGCAAACAATTTATCAATCGAAGCATGCCAAGATTCCTAGGTGATCTACTTGATTCTGGTTGATAAAGTTAACAGTTCCATTCACATTATTATTCATTCTAGGTAGTGTAACCTCTTTATAATAAGTCTAATCTGTTTTGTAACATCTTGATTCATAAGTTTACTGCCTTCTGTATAGGATAAATAACTAAGTATTTAGATGTTGTAATCTGAAGACAATTTAGAGAAAAGAACTAAGGTTTTGTTAGATTATTTGTTAATGAGGAAAGTTGCTTAATTGTTAGAGTGATAATGTTCTATTTCTAAACCAATTTGCTTATAACTTTACTCTACTTCTTTAATGTGGATGACTCACATATACATCATACATGTACAAATGTGGGGGTTCAATTCGTAACGGTTGTCCTTGGTTCTTAAATGAGAATTGCGTACATACTCGAGCATTTTAAAAGTTTTATGTACTACATTGCATATTAAATAATCGACATATTTACGTTGACAACTACTAAATTGCATTAAATTAATAGGGTTTCGTTTCAAAAGAATCAAAATCAATTGGTATAATTGTCCGTTATTTGGGATTTAATCCTTAAAGTTCACATACACGCAAAAATAAATACTTCATATTTCATACAGTTCACAAATGTTTAATTTGTGTGCGAAAAGTTTAGGAATAATGGAACATTATTGCACTTTTATGTTCAAACCTAATGTTTTCCCAAAAATATGGAAAAGTATAGCTAGTATTCCAAATTTCTATATTTTGAGCATTTTGTTATGGTAAGTACTCCATAGTCCATATAGCTTATTAAATATGTCAAATATTGCTGATTTACTTCTAATAATCCAACTAAAGTTTTTTTTTTTTTTAATAATTCAAACTATGCCCTGAGTTTGCCTCCAGTAGACCCAAAAAAGCGGTGACCTGTTGAAAGGGTTTTTTTTTTTTAAAACGCCACATGTCAGCACATGATTGCCCTATTTTTAAAAAATTAAAAAAGAAAAAAAAAAAGAACCAATTGTGACAACCAACCCCTCCACCACCTACCAACCCACAACAAACCGAAAACTGCCGGCCACCTTCCTAGTCCCCCGAAAATGGTCTGCTCAGTCGACCCACCCCAACCCCTGAACCACTCTCCTTCCTTCCCTCCCCCTTCGTTGGAAAACCAAAAAAAAAAAATTTGCACAAATATTGTTGCAAATTGGAGGGAATTTTGGTAAAAATTTAATATTAATGGTTGTTGGAAAAAACAAATGGGATAAACATTTTGGGACTAAAATTTGATCATAAGAGACTATCAATCAAAAAGGGACGGAGGGAGTAATTATTATGAAAATATGAAATGTGACAAATATTTAGGGGCATCCAAAACGGCAAAAGTGACAAACAAAAGGGGATGAAGGGAGTACAATTAATAAATAGAAATATGCATTAAATTTTGATAACTCCTAAAAAAGAATACATGCATATAATAAAAAGACAGAGAATACATGTTGAAATACTTTTTTTTTTTTTCTTTTTCCAGAAAGTGATCAATCTCAAAGTCTTAGGTAAGGTATACAAGTATCAAGTTCAAAACTTTAACCTAACGAACAGAAGGACTAGTTGGCACATATGTAGAAAATATGATGTGCACTCACTTTCCCATCTCGACCTCCCAAAGCCTAGATACAAATACTTCCAGCTCCTATCCCACTGTCATCTTTCACGTATATAAATAACACCAAATCATCTTTCACATTCCCCCCTTCTCTCTATTCATTGCCTTACACCTCTCTCCTCTTTACCTCTACAAATATAGTTGACTCCAAGTTCGAGCACAAATCGGCAATTTCTATTATACGCTCGGGTGTACGACACAATGGACGGGATAGGAAAAGGGAATCCGTATCCGATAGAAAAAATGTCAAAGAAGACCGAACCCGATACCGACACACCGGAACTCCCGGTCTCCGTCCAACAACAAGCAATCGACGAAAACGAAGCATTGATAATGGAGTCATTCTCCTCTAACAACAGATGCTGCTCTTTCATTCCTTGTTTCGGGTCACAGCCCAGCCCGAACAGATTATCCGGGCTTGGCGGGTCATCATCCTCTCCGTCCATGTGGGAGAGGCTCCAACAGACGGCTGAGATTGAAAGTAAATGGTGGGCTGGGCCGTTAAAGGGCCTTAAGAAGATCCGGGAGTGGTCCGAGATCATTGCTGGGCCCAAATGGAAGACTTTTATTCGTCGGTTTAATCGAGGTGGGAAGAATGTTAATGTGTCTGGGAAATTCCATTATGACCCTTTGAGTTATGCGCTTAACTTTGATGATGGTCCGGGGCAAAATGGTCATTTAGATGATGATGAATATTTTCCTGATTTTTCTTCTCGTTTTGCTATTATTCCCAACTCTTGTAGATCATCTGTTGATTTGGGCAAGATTGGGAATTCTTCTCTTTCTTAATCTTTTTTCTTTAGTATAGATTATTATTTCATACAATTAATTGTATTTATTTAATACTATTAGCCAAAATTTTGAGTGTTGCACATTGCAAATATTCACATTGTTGATTATATTCATGTCCCACAAGGCCACAAGCCAAACAAACACGATAACAACACTGTTTTTTTTTAGTTTTTTTTTTTATTGGGATGCAATATTGACTTCGTCAACAACAAATTGTGTTAATGGATGACAATTAATTTAGTCGGATAAATGCTGACTTGTTTACGAGACATGGAGAATAAAACAACCATCGAAATTAAAAATGTTGTGCTTGAATAGGTATTTGGTAGTTTGTTTATCTAACTTATAGGAGTTACATCCGAATATTTGAGTAGTGCATAATGTTTACCATACACTTTGTTATTTTGATGCCAAAAGACATTTTGTTTTTGCCAAATGTATGATATGTGATTGAGATATTTTGATTTTTATTTTTGATAGCAAGGCTATTACAGATTTATAAGCTGATATTATATTTTAACGGGATGTAATTTATATCATGTGGCAATCCAAGCAAAGGAAGTAAACTAATTGCATTTTGTCAAATTGTGAGATATGACTCTCAGAATAACACGTATAGTCGTATGGGGTTGTAGACTTGTAATTGTTCACTTGCTTGCATAGTTAGTAACTGCACATACACACATACTTGCAAACTTGAATTATTGTTCTTGGACAAAAAAAATCGAAAAAGAACTTCAAATCAACATTGATGCCAATCTATAGTGGTTGGCTGCCAACCACTAATAAACTATTTCAAATTAATTTTGTAAGCATATTTAGGTGTAATATGTAATCTATTTATCTGATTTTCACTTTTTTTTTTTTTTTTTTTTTTTTTTTTTTTTGAGGAAAGCCTCAAAAGACATCAATTATCATTAATAGGGAGGTCAATCTTTAACAAAGACACAATACTAGAAGGGAAAATAGAATTCCAAACTCTCCTACCCGGCTCCCACGGCAAGCAATGTGCAAGCTCGTGTACCACTTTATTACCCTCCCTACAAATGAACTTCCAAACTATACGCTCAAAAGAACCACAGATGTGATATATATCATCAAGAACTAGGTGAAAAGCTACTCCCACCCCTTTCCTTTGATCGAATTGCGTCCACCAAGGCCAGGCAATCGCCCTCAACTTCAATTGTGCGATACCCATAGTCAGCAGCGAGTTGGAGTCCAAACAGAACTGCTTTGGCCTCTGCAACGCGAGCTTCCCATCGATCCTCCACCATCCACGCCCCTGCAAGCACAGCACGCCCATCACTGTCTCTCAGAACAGCTCCTGCAGACGAACCCAGACCCTCCACTGTGCCCCCATCCACGTTCAGCTTAAAGGAGCCCACAGCAGGCGGCTTCCATTTTTGTAATTTATTTTAGTTGTAATTTGTATTATATAATCCTTATCTGAACACATTGCACCTTATTAAAATTTATTTTAGTTGTAATTTGTATTATATGAACTCATTACACCTTATCCACTTTCAGCTTAAAGGAGCCCACTGATTTTCACTTATCTGAACTCATTACACCTTATTAAAATTTATTTTAGTTGTAATTTGTATTACTACCTCCGTTACATATTATTTGCAACGATTAGACATTTTTCCTCTTTACTTTATGTCAAATCGTTGCAAATAATATGTGACGGAGGTAGTATATAACCCTTATCGAAACCTTTTTTTTTTTTTTTTATCTGAACTTAACTGAACTCATTACACCTGAAATAAGTGAAAATAAGGGGAACAGAACAAACCCTTAAAGTTAATGTTATTGGCTATATTATTATCTCATATTTAATGTTAATTTTTTGTTGTACTCATAGATGTTGTTTGTGTAACAATTTATTAATCATAATTTTCCTTTTTGCTTTAATAAAAAATATACTTGTAATACATACAAAGTGGTGAATACTACATATTATTATTGCATACAAAGTCGAACATACTACATACTTGGATACCAAGTAATGAGGTATGAATTTGGATATATAGTTTGATTAATTAAATTGTTGTCCTTCTTTATAACAATTTGTAATGTAATTATAATGGCTAATTGCTCTTAAACTATATTGATAATAGTTTTGGTCAAACGCCAACCCTTAAAAGAATCTAAAACTTTAGCTATACAAGCCCCGTTGATAAAATTAGGAAAATGATATAGTATTCTAAACCAATTTTAATACAAGTAGATTATCACAAAAAAAATCAATATAATAATCATTCTAATCATTGAATTAGTCTTTAATCAAATTGACTACAATACGAAGTACCTAAAACCAAGTGTAATTAAGAGCTTAACACCAATGATTATCAAGTTTGTCATCCAGTAAATGCAACGCTGGCATATGCTTTGTTTATAATTTGAGACTTTTGAGTTGTGTGGATATATATTGCATAATAATTTAAGTACAATAATTTTATTGCTATCATATTATTAAAATAAAATATCTTTGTGTTTTTTTTTTTTTTTTTTTTTGACAAGGAAATATTCTTGCTTTGTTATTCAAATATACTCTTCAGATATACTCATATACCTTGATACCTTCCCATAGTCCCCCACAATTAACATCAGGTTATTTTGGTCTCTCTCGCAATTGATAACGCCTAAGCGTAGGTCCACTGTTTTAACTTAAAAGATGCGTAGACTAGAGGATTTTTTTGACGTACTTGCCAATACAATAAAAAATTAAGTAAATGATTGGGGTGACGATACTTTTCATTTAGGCCCTGTTTGGTTTGATGTAAAAGGTTTTCGTGGAAAATGAATTTTCCATTTTTTTTTTTCCATTTTTTTTTCCCATTTTCCTTTGTTTGACTTGTTATGGGGTGGAAAACAATTTTTCCAAGGGTGGAAAATTTCATCCTTAATGATGGAAACCATTTTCCTTCCCAAAACAAGGGAAACCACATTTTTCTCTCTCTTCCTTACCTCCTTTTTTTTTTACTTCCCTCTCATTCATCCTTACATTTCCACTCTTATTTTTTATTTTTCTTGGACTTTTCTTGTATGCAACCAAACAAAGGAAAACTAATTTGTAATTGTGTTTTTCCTTGAAAATATGTTTTTCATGGAAACTAATTTTCCATTGAAAATGTTTTACATTAAACCAAACGGGGCCTTAGATAAGAGTACACTATTCTAATTTTATTTTTGATTCACTTGTCACAGCTTGTCTTAAATAAATGAAAAGCAATTCATTATGAGAGATGAAACGATCGAGCATGCTTGTATATGACTATTTAAAATTTTAAATTAGTCATGAAATTTGCTGCTTGATTAACTTCTTTAAAATAATGAGAAATAGAATAAGCTTCTAATCGAAGAAGATGTTACTTTGTAATATCGTCTCTTTATAAAATTGATGATGTAAAGACTATTTTTTTCTATATTAATGACAAAGAGATTTGAAGGCACAAATCTCTTGTGAGATACTGCCTACTAATTCAACAAATTAAATTTGAACCAAACGGACATAGAGATCTTGCATAGTCTTATAAAAAAATATATCCCAAATTCCTAATGTGTAGTTACCATTTGAATGAAAGGAACCATCAAAGTTAAGTTTGTGGAGTGAAGGATTCGATGGGTTTACATCTTGTGCTTTATGGCCATCGTACTCAAATCTAAACCTAACTTAATTGCCACTTCTGGCTAGGCTCAACACATGACAAACAATGCTATCTTGAAACTATAAGTGAGATATTTACTTGATGACAAACTAGTAAAAGTGTAAAACATTGTTAAAATATAGCTTATCCATATGCTGATATGCTTAACTCATAACGTAAATAAGGGTCTATTTAATGAAGTGAACTGAACTGTTTATGAGAGAAGGAAATTAGGAATTGAACGGAACTGAACTGAACCGAATTAATCTGAAGTGAAATTAAGATGAAGAGACCAGACTCTAAGTTAGGTATAATAGTGATATACTGCTATGTATATACTCTGGATTTTTATTTTTATTTCTTTTTTTGACGGATTATATACTTCGTATTCCACTTTTAAGTGCTCACTTGTATTAGTACTTGTATTTTAAACAGATTAAAAAATAAGTACAAATTAGAACAATAAATTTTAAACATAATTTATTATTTTAGTACGGTTATTTTAGTTAATTATTCTTAATTTTTTTTTTTTGGAAACTACATGTTAATATGTTACAATCTCACTTGATATATCTTTTTAATCGAATCAATTCATATAAGATTACTTAGCAAAAAAAAAAAATCAATTTAAATCAAATAAGTAAATATTAAGTGAACTAAACCGACCTGAAGTTGACTACCGTAATCGTGTGAGCATTGTGATTTGTGAAGTTTAATAATCCAACCCAATAAAAACGACTTTACCTTGTTTTTTTTTTCCTTCTATTTAATCCAACCCAAAAAAAAGACTTCACCTTTTTTTTTTTTCTTCTATTTATTCCAACCCAAAAAAACGACTTCCCCTTGTTTTTTTCCTTCTACTATTTTTTTAATTTAAAATCTTTCAATTAGTTTCAAGGAGTCTTTCAAGAGTGAGTTCCATCCTTGTTTAACCCCCCCTCCCCCCAAAAAAAAAGGTAACCGGTAACTGCCGGTAATCCGGTACATTCTTTCCCGTTACAAGTTACAACCACCCTCAAAGTTATCTCTCTCCTCACACAATCTCCCTCATTAAACCCCCTTTCACCCCTTCACTTTCTCTCCTCTACTCTCCACCACAAAACCCCCAATTCCAATAATGTCAATCGAAGAGAGAGTAATCATCGACGACGACTCCCCTTCCACCACCTTCAACCACCACCAACGCCACCGCTGCTGCTTCCAACTCCCCTGCTTCGGCTCCTCCCCTTCTCCTTCCTCCACCACTCCCCGCCACGTCACCCTCGGCGCTAACCCTTCCTCCGACCCCACCTCCTCCTTCTGGGACCGCTTCCGCACCTCCGACAACCAATCCCGCTGGTGGTCCCGCCCTCTCACCGCCCTCAAGAAGATTCGAGAATGGTCCGAGATTGTCGCCGGTCCTAAGTGGAAAACCTTCATTCGCCGCATTAATCGCCGCCGTCCTAACCATCGTCACC